CGCCTGTAGTCCCAAATCTACTGACAGGCTGAGGCAGGAGAATGGCGTGAACCCAGAAGGCGGAGCTTGCAGTGAGCCGAGATGGTGTCACTGCACTCCAGCCTGGGCGATAGAGCAAGACTCCGTCTCAGAGTGTGAAATAAGGAAGAAGAAGAAGGAAGGTAGGAAGGAAGGAAGGAAGGAAGGAAGGAAGGAAGGAAGGAAGGAAGAAGGGAAGGAGGGAGGGAGGGAGGGAAGGAAGGAAGGAAGGAAGGAAGGAAGGAAGGAAGGAAGGAAGGAAGGGACTTTCCATGCGCTCTTTCTTAGGAAGTTATTTTAGAATGTGCTCATCAGGGTAAGAGGGTAAGAGGAAGATAGGGGTTGAAGAGAGAAGGCTCCATTCAGCATAGCAGACAGTCCCAGGGAATGATGGAGAAGCAGCTGAACTTCTAGCCAGTCTGCAAATCCAGGGAACATATGTAAGATGATACAAGGCAGGAAGATTCTGAGGAAATGAACTGGTAGATTCTTTTGATGCGCTGATCACATGAAAGGTTTTTAGCAAGGCTGTGAGCAAAAGACACGCCAAAAACAAAGCAAATGAAAAAATGAGTGAATTATTAACTTCGGGAAAGACAAAAAGGTTTACAAGAAAGGAAATGTTATCATTGAGCAATTTGGCTCAACAGAGAACAAGATTTTCATGAACATAATAATGTAAACTCTTGTGATAACATTATGCTGAAAGATTACAGGGAAGGAAAGCATATGGTAAGAGGGTTAGGTAGAGATACTAACCTTATTTGAAATCGCAAATGATGTCTAAAACAGAAAAATCAAGAAAGAGCAGCATAAGTGTATTTTGCAGAAATATAGAGCTAGTGCCAGAAGAAACAAATAGAAATTGAAAATGGTATCCTTTGGTGCATGAGACAGGGTGGAGGAGGAAAGAGGAATTTTTGTTTTTCATTATAAGCCTTAAATACTATTTAACGCTTTGTTTACTATTTCCATGAGATCTTTAATAAAAATAAAATTTAATTATAAAAATACATGAAAACAGAAAGCAGGAAGAGAAAATTCACTAAAAAAAGAACTGCAGATGCCCCCTAAATTTATGAAGAGATGTTTGATCTTATTAAAAATAAGAAAAATGTAAATTAAAGCTAAATTGAGATATTCTTTCTTATTTATCAGATTGGTAAAAATTCAACAGTTGGATGACACCCTCTTTTGGTGATGCTGTTGGGGAGTGCAACATGATTCAACCCCGATCAAGGAGAAGTTGCAATAACCGCTAAGACTGCAGATGCATTTGACTCAGCAAACCCCCTTCAAGAAATGTGTATGACAAAAAACCCATGTTTCAGGTTATTCCTTACAACTTTGTTTGTGATAGCAAAATGTGAATTGGAAATGGTCCAAATGTCTGTCCATAGGGGACTGTTTAATAAACTATTGTCGATCCCTTAGTGGAAAGTATTTATTTTCTCAATGAGTAAAGGGAAAAATGACATAATTTACAACCAGCTTCCAGGCTCCTCGGAAGCACAGAACGCCAGGCTGGAAAGCTCCCCAGACTGGCTGGGCGCGGTGGCTCACGCCTGTAATCCCAGCACTTTGGGAGGCCGAGGTGGGCGGATCACAAGGTCAGGAGATTGAGTCCATCCTGGCTAACATGGTGAAACCCCGTCTCTACTAAAAATACAAAAAACTAGCCGGGTGTGGCAGCAGGTGCCTGTAGTCCCAGCTACTCGGGAGGTTGAGGCAGGAGAATGGCGTGAACCTGAGAGGTGGAGTTTGCAGTGAGCAGAGATTGTGCCACTGCACTCCAGCCTGAGCAACAGAGCAAGACTCCGTTTCAAGAAAAAAGACTCCAAGACAGAGACTCTGACCTCCTAAACCTGAGCGTAAAAAGAACCCCCTTCGAAACCTTAGGACGAAAGCAAGAGAGAGGCAGGAGACCATGTCAGATTTAACATCAGCCCTAGGTCTAAATCCCAGTTTGGCTACTTTTATTCGCCGTGACACTCTAGACTTTGGTCTTCATTGGTAGGCTGGGGATAGGACTCTGCCTTGTCAGGCTAAGCGAGGGTGGGAGTGGATGAGAGTGTGTGATACGGAAGCTACAGGGCCTGGCCCACAGTAAGCACTCCACAAACAGGAGTTGATATGAATAGTGGCACCGGAAAAAAGAATCCTGTCTCCAGGACAGTATTCATTGTAGAAGGAAAGTCATGTTGGAAATCCCAAGAGAAGAAGGAAAAGTCACTGCTCTGAAGAGAAGAATTGAAGGAATTTCCTCTCATGACCAGGCAGTTTTGGGAGAGGCTCTGTATACACAGTCAGATGCCTACGCCTCGTGTTCTCCAGCTTCATTGCCACGCTCCCTCTGATGACCGGCAGAGACATTCCCAAGCATCCTAGGATCAGCAGGACTGGAAGGACCCGAGCCCAAATTCCCATTTAGGACGAGAAACCCAAAGACCAGAGAAGACCAGTGATCAACTCAAGGGCACACAGCCAACGGGCTTGGTCCACAGCCAGGTGCACCTACTCAACAAAACTGCTTCCAGGTACGCATTTTATGATAGCAAGGGGATAAGCAAAAGGATAAACCTAAATGTGCGCCCCCAGGGTATTGAGCTAACTTGACTTTACTCACTCCTAAGAGGGGCTGCAGTCAATGTGAAAGCATGTGATCAAGGTTGGTGGAGAAAGTAATGTGTTTATATCAACCCATTTTGATGGCTGTGTTACACTTACATTTTACACACTTCCCGTGGAATGAAGCCCCAAACCTAGTGGCAGCTTGCATTGCAGTAACAGGGATTTTTAGAACATACCCAATCCCTGCTCCAGCACTGACCAGATATGTAATGCTGAGTTTTCATTTCGTCATCTGTGAAAGGAGATATCAGCCACCTTCATCATGCTGTTACAAAAATAAAATCAGATAACTGTGTCTGTCTGGCGCACAACAGCCACTTCTACTTCTCTCAACCTAGATATCCCCTTGTCTTATCGACAGAGGAGACCTAATGAGTCCCACAGCAACCCGCTGGATCCTGCCTCTATGAATTCAAAGAAAGGTTTTCCCCCAAGCTCCTCGAGAGAGAAAGAAAGAAAGAAAGAAAGAAAGAAAGAAAGAAAGAAAGAAAGAAACGAATCCCATAATGCTTTCATAGTTTGATTAAAGTATTTTGTGCTGATTAAATAGAGGAATTGCTAGGAGAATGAGGGCTTTTGTTCAATATCTTGTTCACGCTGTTCTTGTGCTGTTTCAACACTGAGGTGGAACTGAACTGGATGGTTTACTTGCTCTCATACTACGGGTTTACCTCAGATTTTGGGAACAATTTCGTTTGTCATCCTTATTCAATTGCTGAGTCAGTGAGTGAGCCTCTGTGAGAGCAGGCATATCCACTGACAGGAAAGGACACTGTATGCTAGACCCTTTCTACCACCTCTTATACTTGAGATGCACTCTGAGTGTGGACATCGAATTTTACTTATGATGACTTGAAACGATCACTAGAGTTACTTGTGGATGTATTTGAGCTTACTTCAGCTGTAGGAGTTCTGCCTGACTCAGGTCTCTCTTTACTAGGATTGGCAGAAAGAAAGAAAGAAAGAAAGAAAGAAAGAAAGAAAGAAAGAAAGAACGAACTTCCATAATGCTTTCATAGTTTAATCGTTTTCAATTTCCTCAGCCAGAATCAAAAGTTAAGAAGAATCTCATTAAGAAGAATTCTAAGGGTATTTCTTTTCAAGTTCCCAAATACCTTCTTCATTATCCACATTGCCCTTGCAAGCTGGTTCCCCCATGTCCATGCTGATATGGAGAACACCGAATCCAGATGTATTCACTGGGTTCCCGGCACTATACAATTCCTACCCCAGGGACGTGCTCATGGGAAACACCCAATGAGTCATCCTTATCTGAACCAAGCAGAATCAGGAAAAGAATTCCAAGAAAGATATATTGAGCATCCACTTACTATATGCTAGACACTGTATAAGACCCTTTTCACACTCTTGTTTAATTATGACAACTCTGAAGGTGATCATCGTTGTCCTCACCTTACAGATGACGAAACAGACATTCAGAGCACTTTGTAATTTGCCTAAAGTTTCACTGTCGAGAAGAAGCCTGGTCTCCCGACTTCAGGTCTTCCCACTATGAGACCACCAGTTTATTGTAACTGGAGGCCTCTCCCCTCTAAAGCATCTTTGTAACTGCTTTCCCTTTCCCCCACACTGCTTACACACACAGAAGCCCCTAATTTGTAACAAGTCATTTGATAACTCCAAGAGAGGGGCCACATCCTTTTTCTCTATGTCTGTTGATTAACAAAGACAACATTATGTTTCCAACACATTAGTCAGACCAAGGGGGAAAAAAATCCCCATGACTAGAGTAAATTTCCATCCTTTGGAACAAGGACATATACACAGGTTTACTATAGAATGTAAACATTGCTTTTAAATGATGCTAATCTCTCTTTTAATGTGGCCTAAATCCTAAAATGTAAAGTGTGATAAGCCAGGCACAGCATCTCACACCCGTAATCCCAGCACTTTGGGAGACTGAGGCAGGTGGATAACCTGAGGTCGGGAGTTCAAGACCAACCTGAACAACATGGAGAAACCCCATCTCTACTAAAAATACAAAATTAGCTGGGTGTGGTGGCGCATGCCTGTAATCCCAGCTACTCAAGAGGCTAAGGCAGGAGAATCGCTTGAACCCGGGAGGCGGAGGTTGCAGTGAACCGAGATTGCGCCATTGCACTCCAGCCTGGGCAACAAGAGCGAAACTCCGTCTCAAAAATAAATAAATAAATAAATAAATAAATAAAGTGTGATAGTGTCCTTTCTTCTATTTTAAGTAGACACACGAGCCTTAATATATATGTAAACTGTAAACATCAAGGACAACTCTTTAAGATTGGACTCTCACACTAACACACCCCTTCCTTGCAACTTGCACCCAATTTGACTCTGGTCCTAGGCATGCTGACCTGAAATAGTTGCTGGCCGCGGCAAGTACCACGCGGTGGCAGGAGAATTCCTGAATGTCCACACACAAGATGACATCTGTCAGAGCGTTTTCCATTCGCAGGGTCTCCAGGCCATTCTGAAGAATTAAGGAGAGTCCCGCGTCGTCAAATTTGACCTTTTCCCCGTTTAGGATCTCCACCAAGTCTCCTCTTTTCTGGGAGGGCTCATCTGTAGAAGGTGCCAGAGGCCCTTCCAAACTCTTCTCAACCACGTCACCCATGGTCCAGGCGCCCCTTTGTCCTGCCATCAACATCGAGACTGAAGGAGCGCCCAAGTGTCAGGCAGGCCCCATTGCAGAAGCTGAGCGGATTTCCTGTGCAGGGCCCTCCACTTATCACCAGCTGTCACACACACATAACAGGAAGTCTCGCACTTTCTCATCCTGTTACTACAAATGCCAGCAACTTCTATTCTTCTTCTTTCTGTGAATAATCACAGGGTTAGAAATTACTTAGAATAGGTGTGTGGGAGGGGGCTCTGGAAGAGGAGTGGCCTCTTAGAGTCCACTGTGAGTGCTGTGTGTTTATTTTGGTGCATCTCCCACTTCATATCCGTGAGCAGGAAGCCTCTGGTGGTGGCTATTACATTTGTACTCCTAATGCTATCAATAACCTGAGTCATCAATGAGGGGATGGACAGGAGACATTCTATAATCCTCCCACTTCACATTTGTACTTCTAGTGGCTCAATAACCCAAGTCGTCAATGAGGGGATGGACAGGAGACAGTCTATAGTCCTCCCACTTCCTCCTCCCAGGCGTCTGAGATCCCACAACGATCCAAAAACCGTCCTTTGTAAACCTTGGAAACCCCACTTATCCCTGACATTCTCATTTCTGGAGACACTGTAGATAGTCTATCTTCATCCTCCTCCCTACCCAGGGGAAAACAACGTCATGGCAAACATTCATGTCTTCCCCCCACCGAAAAATGTCTATTGTTTCAGATGTGCTTTGGGGGCACAGAAGAAATGGTTTCCAAAACTCGGTCACTAGCATCTTCTCAGAGGATGAGTCAGGGTAGGTCTACACCGAATTGCCACAGCACGTCTCAAATTAGCCCAGTGTCTACAGACCATGCATCTAACGTTGGATCCTGAAGTATTTTCATTACCTTTGCAGGTCTTAGTTAAGTAGTAATAACTGTCATTATTAAAATCCCATGATTTTAATAGGAAGTTATAGGAGCGTATTAGTTAGCGTTCTCTCACACCCAACAGTAATGCTTTACCAGGTTGCTAGGTATTTCTTAGCCCAGTAAACTTGACATCTAAAATTAACCATCACAATTACAGTCATACCTAGCATAATGATATTTCAGCTGATGATGGACTCCGGAGAGACAGAACCAAAAGGATACCTAGAGAGGCATAGCGGAGGGAAATTATTAGGGGAATTGGCTCACATGATTATGGAGACTGAGAAGTCGCATGACAGACTGCTGAGAGCTCAGGTCGAGTCCGAAGGCCTCAGAACCAGGGAAGATGGTATAACTCTCAGTTCAAGGCCAAATGCCTGATAATCCAGGAGATGGGGAGACTGGTGTAAGTCCTGAAGTCCAAAGGCAGGGGATCCTGGAATTCTGTTGTTCAAGGCAGGAGATGACTGTATCCCAGCCTCAGAATAGAGAGACATGGACCTTTCTTCTGTTTTTGTTTTCTCTGGGCCACTGGCTGATTGGACGGTGCCCACCCACAGTGAGAGTGTATCTTCTCTACCGAGTCCACTCAGACTCACTAAGCTCTCTTGGAAACAACCTCAAAGACACGCTCAACAGTAATACTTTGCCAGGTTGCTAGGTATTTCTGAGCCCAGTAAACTTGACATCTAAAATTAACTGTCACAAGTACAGTCATGCCCAGCATAATGACATTTCAGTCAATGATGGACTGAATATACAATTGTAGTCCCATAAGATTATAATGGAGCATATAAAGAAACCTGACAGCCAGGAGCGGTGGCTCACGCCTGTAATCCCAGCACTTTGGGAGGCTGAGGCAGGCGGATCACAAGGTCAGGAGCTCAAGACCAGCCTGAGCAACATGGTGAAACCCCCGTCTCTACTAAAACTACAAAAATTAGCCGGGCATGGTGGCACACACCTGTAATCCCAGCTAGTCAGGCGGCTGAGGCAGAAGAATCGCTTAAATCCGGGAGTCGGAGGTTGTAGTGAGCCGAGATTGCACCACTGCACTGCAACCTGGGCAATAAGAGCGAAACTCTGTCTCAAAAAAAAAAAAGGTAATGGAAAAATAATGCCATTCACGATAGTAATAAAACATATGTAAATGCCTAGGAATAACAGCAACCAGCAACATAAAGAAAACTAACAAAGTTTACTAAGAGATTTGAAAGAAAACTTAAATAAATATACCAAGTTCCTTTATGGAAAGACTAAATATTATTAAAAGGACCAATTCTTTCCAAATGCATTTATAGGTTTATTTCACTCTAATAAAAATTACAAGAAAATTTGGAGTTTAGGTGTTTAGTTTTGTTTTGTTTTGTTTGAGGCAGAGTCTCAGTCTGTTGCCCAGGCTAGAGTACAGTGGTGCGATCTCAGCTCACTGCAACTCACTGTAGAGACTAGATTTCCTAGCCTGATGAATGGGAGTGCAGAGTTTTACTTTCCGATTTGACCTAATCTTTTCTTTCTCAGTCCTTTTAAGATTAATAGTCATGAATTTAAATTGAGACCTGGCAGATGGCCAAGATCAGTTTCCAAAAGTTATGTGCTTGGGCCAGGTGTGGTGGCTCACGCCTGAAATCCCAGCACTTTGGGAGACCAACGTAAGAAAATTGCTTGAGCCAAGAAGTTCCAGACCAGCCTGGGCAACGTGACGAAACCTCATCTCCACAAAAAATATAAATTAAAAAATTAGTCAGATGTGGTGCCATGCATCTGTACTTGGAAGGCTGAGGCAGGAGGATTGCTTGAGCCCAGGAGGTAGAGGCCACAGTGAGCCATGTTCTCACCACTGCATTCCAGCCTGGGCAACAGAGTGAGACCCTGTCTCAAAAAACAAACAAAACAAAAAAGCAAAAAAAAAGTCATATGTTGAGCTGTGTTCAGTAGAACTATGGAGGGTCGGCCGGGTGCGGTGGTTCACGCCTGTAATCCCAGCACTTTGGGAGGCCGAGGTGGGCGGATCACGAGGTCAGGAGATTGAGACCATCCTGGCTAACATGGTGAAACCCTGTATCTACTAAAAATACAAAAACTTAGCCAGGCAGGCTAAGGTGGTGGTGGGTGCCTGTAGTCCCTGCTACTCAGGAGGCTGAGGCAGGAGAATGGCGTGAACCCGGGAGGTGGAGCTTGCAGTGAGCCGAGATCACGCCACTGCACTCCAGCCTGGGCAACAGAGCGAGACTCCATCTCATAAAAAAATAAATAAATAAATAAATAAGAACTATGGAGGGTCCAGCTAGTTAAACTGAATCTGCCCTTAGACTTCAGAGTCAAGGTGAAGCAGAGATGAAGCCAAGTGAACGAAAGAGACTAAGATAAGACAGGACAGGAGGGTAGGAGGAGCAAGGTGGGAATTCAAGAGGGTCTAAGATTTTTGCATATGCCAGAGCTGGGCTCCAGGACTCCCACTTAGCACCACTGGTGGCCTCCTGCTTGGCTAAGAGGGCCTCACTGAAAGATGTAGGGTCAACACAGATCCCATGCCATACCCCGGCCCCAGCTCCTGTGACCTCTCTCCTATATGTAGATGTCAAACCCTTCTCCCTAGTCACTCTCCTCTGCTTTATGCATTTTAATGCTCTAAATCTGTGTTCAAAGTACGGTGTTGTTATATCCTTGCTATTGGTTGTATCTTTTATTAGTATTAAATGTCCCTGTTTACCCTGTTAATTTTTTTCTTTAAAGAATTTTCTGATTTGTCTGGAGTTTCTATTGCCACTCCTGCTTTCTTTTTGTTTACTTTTCCTAATGTATCTTTGCCTGTTCTTTGTATTCTGGAAAATAGACATCTTTTCTTAATGTTTCTGATGGTTGCAATGATGTTTCAACAAATAGTAAGCCAATATTTATCTAATTATCATAGCACAAAGCCTAGAGATAACTTGGATTATCTCTAGACTCGGATAACTTGGATTATCTCTAGGCTCTGTGCTACAATAACCAGATAAATATTGGTATTCAACTGCTTACTTAACATCTGCACTTGAGGGTCTAACATTTGAGGCATCCTCCGACTAAATATATCCCAAGCCAAAACCTGGATGGTACACACCAAACATGTCCCTTCACCGGGCTGTGTTTGGGTGGGAACACATGAAAGAGACGTTGAGTAATTGGCAAAGTTCAATTTCTTGACCTTAGTGGTGTTTACAATGGTATTGCGTGCCTTATAATAATTCACTAAGCTACATATTTGTTTGTATCATTTTCCATGTTTTATTTGACAACACAAAGGTAACAACAACCATAACAATAATAGTCCACATGTATGGATGCCAGGGTTTTGCTAGTTAGTAGCTGAATGGGACTACAGTTCCAGACTTCCAGCTCCAGAGCCAGTGCCTGATCCCCACGCCATGCTGAAGGAGCACACTCAGGACTTCGCATCTTCCTGGTAAGTGTGAGGCAAATGGAATATCCACCCATGCCTCAGACAAGACCAGCTTTGCGTGCCATCTTGTGGCCTCTTTCTGGTTCCAGTTAATACCTGCAGGCCCAGAAAACAGAGAAGCTGCAGCTTTTACCTCAGGTCAGGGTTCCTCTGAGTATCTTCAGTTCCCAGGTAGAGTGTGCCAGCCTCTCCCAATCGCGGTCTCCTGCAGACGCCGCTGGTCTGGCCTCTTCCTCTGCCTGATTCAAGGTTGCCCAGTGTTCCCAGGCTCGTGCTCATCAAATGCCTAACCCTGGCCTCCTCTGGCCAACTCCTGTTGCCAACCACATCCTGTCATAATAATAACGAAAGATAAATGCTTTCATCCAAAACAATGACACAGGGTCTGCCTGAATCTGAAACAAGAAGTTGGAAAGTTGCCAGAGGAGAAAGACAAGCCTGATCTAAGTAGTGAGGCCAAATATTAAAATCCAAGAACAAAGCAGAGTCCAGAGCCAAGTGTTTTATAATTTAATCCAGAGGGGATTCTTTTTAAAAGGGCGGTGTTAAGACTTTATTTCCTCTTACAAATTCTGCGTACAACACACACTTTCCACAGCATGTTTCTAGTCAACATAATAAAAGACTTGTCATATATGAGCTATAATTTTTTAACTTTCTATTCAGGACCACCCAGCCTGGTCCCTAGGTGTTACCCTGACATGTCCCCTGCAGACCTGAACTTAAGGAAAGCC